GCCCAACTTGAATTATTTTAAAGTGTGGAGGTGTTTGGCAAAAGTGCAAGTTCCTAAACCCAAAAGGGTAAAAATAGGACTGAAACCCGTTGATTGTGTTTTCATAGGATATGCGACTAATAGTAAAGCATATCGATTTCTTGTTCATAAATAAAAAAATCCCGACATTCATAATAATACGTTTACAGAATAAGAAAATGCTGAGTTCTTTGAAAATATATATCCGTATAAAAGGGAATGTGAATCGATTGGTGAAGGATCTAAACAACCTCAGGAAGAAACAAAATAAAGTACACTTAATTAGGAGGATCCAAGACATAGTAAACATCAAAGAACGTCTACTTCATTTGGACCATATTTTGTGACTTTCTTATTGGAAAATGAGCCTCAAACATTTAAAGAAGTCATGTCTTCTTTGGAATCATTGTTTTGGAAAGAGGAAGATAATAGTGAAATAGAATCCATAATGTACAATCGTACATGGGAATTGGTTGATCTTCCTCCTGGAAACAAACCGTTGGGTTCCAAATGGATCTTTAAGAGGAAAATGAAAGATGATGGCACTATTGATAAATTTAAGGCAAGACTTGTAGTCAAAGGGTATATACAACGAGAAGGTCTTGACTACTTTAATACATACTCTCCAGTTACAAGAATTACGTCCATACGAACGTTAGTAGCGTTAGCTGCAGTTTATGGTCTTGAAATTCATCAAATGGATGTTAAGACGACCTTCTTAAATGGAGAGTTGGAGAAAGAATCTACATGGAACAACCTGAAGGGTTTGTGGTTCCAGGTAAAGAAAAGAAGGTCTGTAGACTTGTTAAATCCCTTTACGGACTAAAACGAGCACCCAAACAATGGCATACGAAATTTGACCAAACAATATTGTCAAATGGGTTTAAGATAAATGAATGTGATAAATGTGTGTATATTAAAAATATTCCAAATCATGTAGTCATTGTTTGCTTATATGTGGATGATATGCTAATAATGAGTAATGACATTGCCAACATAAATGCTACTAAGCGTGTGCTAACTAGCAAGTTTGATATGAAAGACTTGGGAGTTGCTGATTTAATTCTTGGGATTAAGATCCATAAGACTCCTCAAGGTCTGACATTGTCACAATCTCATTATATTAAGACAGTACTTGAAAAGTTCAAGCACTTAGGCTTTAAAGTTGCAAAGACTCCAATTGACGTGAATTTTGCATTAGCAAAGAACAAAGGCCAAAACATATCACAATTGGATTATGCTCGTGTGTTGGGTTGCTTAATGTACATCATGAATTGTACACGACTAGATATAGCTTGTGTTATAAGTAAATTGAGTCGATATACGAGCAATCCAGGTCAATCTCATTGGATGGCCATGAAACGAGTTTTGGGGTATTTAATACATTCCCACGACTTTGCTTTGCACTACAGTAAATATCTTGCGGTCATTGAGGGATACTGTGATGCAAATTGGATCACCGGATCAACTGACTCCAAGTTCACAAGTGGATATGTATTCACTATTGGTGGAGGAGAGGTATCTTGGAAGTCGTCCAAACAAACTTGTATTGCTCGCTCTATAATGGAGGCTGAATTCATAGCCTTAGATAAAGCCGGTGAAGAAGCTGAATGGCAATGGAATTTCTTGAAAGATATTCCATTTTGGCCCAAATAGTTGGCACCAATATGCATACATTGCGATAGTCAAGCGGCAATAAGGGCTGGGAGCGTTATGTATAACGGTAAATCTCGTCATATACGACGAAGACATAAAATCGTTAGGCAATTACTCTCTAGAAGAATTATCACGATTGATTATGTAAAGTCAAGTGATAATGTGTCGGATCCACTTACAAAAGGCCTAACTAGAGAGGTAGTTGAGAAATCATCAAGGGGAATGGGACTATGGCCGAGAACAAGTCATAGTGGCGGTAACTCTACCTAGAAGACTGGAGATCCCAAGATCTAGGTTCAAGGAGATCAAACAAAGTCATTAATGACGGTTCAACATTGTCAACTAAACTTTTGGTCCATTCTCGTGATGAGACAATGTTCAGTACCAAGGATAAAGCATTAAGGTTTTTTAATGAGTTCTAAATTTGATACGGGGTATATCAAATAGTGTATCTACGGGATGACACGTTTAGGAATCACCTATGTAAGTGTGAAGTGTTAGCCGCTTCAAGGAGAATTTTGTAAGGCCAGTTCTCTACATACTTATGAAACTAAGCGGTGTTCATGGCTGAAACGAACACAACAATAATAACCAAAGACGGTTAAAGGTTGGTTGTGTGACTTATGGTTGTCTAGGTATACACCAAAGTTCAACGGTTCAAAGATATCAAATCTACCAATTAACTAAGTATATCCGACATAAGTTCACTACAGAAAGTTCAAAGGGCAACCTACTTATTCAGATGCAATTAATCTTTGCTTGCGAACCACACAGTTTTTCATGCATATTTCCGTGATATAGCCATTCTCCCTTCATGTAGGGGATTGTTGGGATTTTAAGTATACGATATACTTAAAAGAGGGTGAATGGAAAATGGAGCAAAATAAAAATTTTAAGTTTTCCCCTTGGCAAAGGGACATTGTCCCATATTGGAAGAGGAAGAGGTTTTTTGTGGGTATATAAGTAATTGCTCTTCTTCTAGCTCTTAAAGAGTTGAGAAGTAGACAAGCCTCGTGCCGTTGTCGTCGTCGCTCGCTCGGCTCGGCTTCGGCTTCGGATTTGGTCAAATGATCGATTGATTGATTAATTTTTTGGACCAAATTTATTTGTTAATAATAAAATATTAACATAAATGTTATTAAATATTTGTTTTAATAACAGAATATTAATAATAAAATAAATATTAATATTAAATCCAATCCGTTTTTCAGTTGTGTAACTGAAAATTAAACTATCCTCTTCAATTTTTCCTCTTTATTTTCCCTTGTTGAGTAAGTAGCCATTTATATTATGGCATTTATGATGTGACCGTTTTGCATAAACAGCCACTCTGAAGAGTCGCACCTCTTCAGGTTTCAACCCAACTTTGGCTATAAATACAAGTCTATTCTGCTCAAAATTTCCATACGATTTTCTGAGTTTCTCCTCCTCCTTCTGCATACTTTTAAAATCAAACAAAGCAATCGGAAGTGTGATTTGCTACCGAACTTTGTGTTCGCTGAAACACTGGGGTTTGAAATACTACTACAACAGTGTGTAATTCGTTCTATCCTGAGAGGAAATAATCCACAACCTTGGGTACTAGGAGGGGATTAAATTCCTTAAGGAAACACTATGAATTCAGTGGGCTCGGATTAAAATTCCGTTTCTGTTTTTCATTTCTATTTATGCTAATTTATATTTTCCAGAATTATTTTACAAATACAATTTACTAACAATTCATGCCTCAAAATACATAATGATATTCAAAATAGCTTATAAAGTCACTCGATTTTCTTTTGGCAATACACTTCACGTAACCATGAATTCAGTTCCGTAACGGCCACTAATAAATCTTTCACGCTCAATTAAAGCGAGGATAATTACTATATCCAATCACAAAGAAGAAGAAAAAATAGAAAAATGTAAGGACGAAAAATAATACTAGTAACACCAAGAGAACTTCCTGCACTTATGAATAGTAAATACTCTATTATTTTCTCAATACACTTTAAAGGTGTCATTTCGTTGATTGTATTGGATAATTAATCCTAAAATATGGAATCTTTATATAAATAGTCAGTCATATTTATTGTTTACTTTTCATAGGCATATATATATATTCCCTACGGTCCACAATAAATGACCAATTTGCATTTTTATTTTGGTCAAATAAGTGTCCATTTATATAATCAAGAGAAAATTCAATTTGTTTTTCCAAAATTACTCTTATGAACGTACCCTAAAAAGTCATTTACTCCTCACATTTGAGAAGAGAGTAAGTACTACTATAACTATGGTGCAACATTTAATGAAGGGTAATTTAGTCACACTAACTATTTTCGTCTAGAATTTTGTATTTCCTTAATGGGCGTGTTCAAAGCAAATTGGTTACTTATTATGGACCGGAGGGAGTAAATTATATTTGTCACATAACTAACTTAGTATCTGGGTAGCGGTACTAAATAGTACCTAGGGCTGCTTATCGGGCGGACCGGGCGATTATTTACTCTAACGGTTTGGCTTATCGGTTATCGACTTTTAAATGTATTAATCCGCTAGCATGCGGTTATCGGGCTGTTTATCGGCCTAATTCAATCAAAATAAAATAAAATTTAGTCTTTGTGTGTTTAAATAGATGGTCGACGTACTAAGAGGGACGAAGCAGAAGAGACACCGTGATGGGTAAATCATCTGTCTAGAATCTTATTTATGTTTATGCACATTGACCTTAGTCCATGTGAAAGATTTCCAATTGGCTGTTGTTAAAACAAATGCTCGTCATGCTTAGAATTCTAGGATGCCTTAAAACCCAGGAAAAGTTGATGAAGCAGTGGTGTAATTGGTGTTGTTATCTTGTTTCAGACAACAAATTATGTCTTTTGTCACAGTTAGATGACTCATTTTATTTGGCTTTCTTTTATTCTAATTCATTTTGATAGAGTAACGGAGGAAGAAGGGTTTTTGATTATTTAATATATNAATAAGTCGTTAATAAAAAAATTTCAATTCGTTCCCCGTCCGTTAAACCGCTAACCTGATACCAATAAGCCGTTAAGCTTCGGTTTCGGTTCGATTTTCGGTTTCGGTTCGATTTTGAACATCCCTAATAGTACCAGCATTAAATTATGCAAAAATTTACGTATTATTTTATGTGAGATAAAATGTCAATAAAAATATACTATTAACAATAAGATAATTACAATATTCAAAGATAAAAATACTCTTTTAAACTAAGTAATTTGTGTAGTACAATTTCTTCACCACAAAAAAAGAAGAAAAAAAAAAGAGAGGAGAAAATGGTTTTGGTGATGGGTTACTTTAAAAAGCAGAAACGATGCGTAGAGTAACCGCTAGCCAGAACCAACCGAGAGATAGAAAAGAGTAGTCCAACCCTACACTCTTTTCCTTCCAAACAGATCAACTGATTGCTGCTATATATCTATTAAAAAAACCACAATCCAAAACAAAAACATATTTGTTTAGATCCAAAAATGTGTTGCGGTGGTAGAATTTGCATGTTGTGCACATGCGTTGTACTAATTGTGGTTGCGATCGGTTTCTTGTTTGGATTTGGAGTATTCAAGAATGGTTTTCACAAATTGAAGGACAGTATTCATGTTGTTGATTGTCTTAATGCTCTCTGTTCCTCCCCTACTGGTCGAAGGCCCTTTTTGGGTTTCCCCCCTGCTCCTTCACCATCCTATTAATTACTACTCCATCTCGTTTTGCGATGTTTAAAATAAGATGGGGTTGTATGGTTTTAGAATTTCTGACCATTGTTTGATTTGTTCATACTACTACTCCATTAGTTAAATGTTCATCTTGCTTTTACTTTGATGTTCAAATTTGTTGGCTCAACTTTTTGTATTTTTTTGTGTTAAGTACTAAGTACTTTATACCTAAATCCCTATTTTAGTACTAAAATTTAGGACTTCATTTTCATATTAGACTATTCAAATTTAAAACTGGTTATGCTCTGCAAAGGTCTGAAGTAGGGGTTCATTTTTTTTCATTTTAATGTTTGCTTGATTTATTCAGACAACTTTTCTTGGTCTTGTGGATCTCAAATTGACTAATTGAGGGTTGGATTCTGTTTTAGTTTGCTTTCCAACTATTGTGTACGTTTTTCTGTTGTTGGAAAAGCAACTGCTTCATAAAAGAAGACTAGCCCCATGAGCACCCCCAACAACTTTTGGTTAGAAGAGAAGAATGTTTTATACCTATAAAATACAACTTACACGTATCTCGATATTTTATATTTGATAAATCGAAAGAAATCACATAATACTTTTTTTTTTGTTTTCATGAGATTTGAACTAGATCTTCAAGATCTAAAGATCTTCACTCACTTCTAGGTCATATCCTGAGGCGGAGCCGGAGAAATAAATATGAGTTCGAATGAATCCAATAATTTTTGCTTAGACCTTGTATTTGTATTAAAAATTCATCAAATATATATATATATATATTAAATTGCTAACTCAGCAGCTAAACGAGTTATGATTCAATAACAATTTAAGAACTCATAAATATTAAATCCTAACTCTAGCCCTGCATATCCTTTGAATGCTTGGATAGAAGAATGGTTTCTTGGCTATATCTTGTGGAATATACATTTAACAAAATGCAAATCCTAGTGCTTGCTGGATAAGTTACACAATTTCAATAAATTCAAAATGTCAGTCCAACTTATGAAACATCCAAAATAGCGTACGCAATGGACTATCAATCGGCTAAAAAGGTGCTTCAATCATTGAATTTGTAATATACACGACCCACAGAAGGTTCAGTCCTACCACCAACAAAATTAGCCAGAGAAGATAGAAAAGAACCAACTAATAAAGAAAAACTCTGATATACCTGCCTCGACAATATCTCAATATATGTACAATTTGGACGTCCACCCATTTCATTACTGGATGTACATTTGTGTGACCCCATGAAGACAAAAGGAAATAATTTCTTATGACCAATTACAATTTGAATCGAAGAAAATGATCAAACAAAAATTATCATAACGATCTCCGGTGGAAAAACTATATACGAAAAAATATTTGTAATGAGCTATAAAACCAATCTATCATAAGACAAAGGGAGGTAGAATCAGGTGAAAACGGGCACTTTGCCTACACAAGTCTATTTTGTCTCTCCCCACCTCTTGCAGATCTCATCTGTACATCTGCGTCGTAATGAGCAAAGGCAGCATCAAGAACCTGCATAAAAGCATATTTGTCAATTAGTTCCAGCTAATAAGCTTCAGTGCAAGATAATCATGCAGTATGAGACTGAAATAAATTAAAACTCCTACAGTAGACAGTTCCCTAGAACAAGATTGAGGCATCTTCCATCATAGAATACAAGATAGAATAGAAAAACTTCGTGTTCAATGACATTAATCATTCCAATAACCAAACGAGAAGCAGGAGAAAAACAAGGCAAATTGGAGGCAAAATGTCTCAAAAGAAATGCTTAACACGGTTTGAGAGTTAAAAATAAGAAGAGTACATTTATAGATGAAATTCTGTTACACTGATCTCTTAACTAAAGCTGCCGTTAGTATACTGAAGGCCAGAAGTTCACCTGAAGCATTGGCTGTACAAGAAGGGAAACTTGATGTTGGATATCAGATTGCACAGATTCCTTAATCTTCTGAACATCAATAAGAAGATAAAAATTTAATGCCATAGGAAATAAATTCTCAAATCAGATAGACCAATAACTAGCAAGAGATTAACATTATCAAGTAATTTTATTTTCAATAACATTATCGTAAATTGCTCACGAACAGTCCACCTTGGCCGGTTTAGTCTTGAATTTTATTATGTTCTCATGTTTCCTATGCCATCCCCTACCAAATATGTTTAGTTTTGTATTCCTATATGAATCCTTTCCAAGACATCATACATGGAGAAAAGCAATCACAGATAACAAAAATATGAACGGTGAAAATGATTTCAGAAACGCCACTACCTGCAGCTTTCCATATATTTGGGACATCACATCCTTTAATCTAGTTAACTGTCAAATGATAAGCATTAGAAAAGGCCACGGAAATGAAATAAGTTCTAAAATCAATGGAACTTATCTCGATAGAAGGAAAACCCAATGAAATAAGTTCTAAATATAGTAATAATTCTGAGAGACCAAACTATAGTTAACACATAACACATACACCTAACTTTGAACAATTAGAATAAACAAAGTTCTGTAACTAAATCTTTCTTTTGGACCATAACAACATTATTCTGTTATAAGGTAACAGGAACTCCAAATAACGTTGACAGTGAAGCATCAAGATCGAACATTACCTTAGTTTAAAAATATTTACTTGTTATTGGATACAATGACCAGAAATGCTTCAACATTTCCTGAATTGATGTCCAGTGCTACAAGCAAAATGAAAACTAATAGCGAAAGCACAGGGCAAAATATCAGTTCAAGATAAACTAAAATACAGTGGAATTACTCACAAGTAGCAATTCATTTTTTGGTTGCACTAAGTAACTGATCCAAAAGACGCTCACCGGGGTTCTTTCCCAGATGATACTTGGCGCACTGAGAACCTGCTAACAAATTATATACAGTTAACTTCTCCATGGCCAATATGATAACATTCCGTGGCAATTTTAAATTAAAAAGGTAAAAATACCTTGAGAGCTACTTCTGAACTAATTTTTGGTTCAGTTTATTCTCGAGAAGAGAAGAATTGATCTCGGAAATGGATTCCTCTAAGGAGCTAAAAGGCTTCTTGTACGATCACACTAGGTTTCAACTGTTTCATCCCAACAACTGCATCCCCCAAAGCCTTTATTGCATTTGCGCGTTGAGAATCAAAGTAAGTAGTCTCGAGGAACCTGATTCAGGACAAAATCATATATTAGATAATCAATTGGATCTACAGAGACAGAGTTCAACAAAATAGACCTAATGAAAGCCACACGTTGATACTCAGGAATGCAACTGGACGATCACAAGGTGAATGAAGATCCTCAATATCATGAGCCACTCGGAGAATTTTATCCAGGCGTTTTTTATATCCTTTTCATCAGACACTTCGATAGCTAGTTCAGCTGTTCCGCGCAGAAACCCAAACCAAAGTGGTGAGTTGTACAAACACTTTTTATGGGCTCAGATTGCAAGAGATAAGTGAACAATTTAACAGTAAATGTGCTCTACCCTGTTTGCCCTGGTGAATGCTTCAGCAACAGACCGTGAACCATCCAGTTCAACATCTTTGCAGATTGGACAAACAACAAATGTAAGAAGGAAAAGCATCAAGTCAAATTTGAAATGATTGTTACAAGTACAAAATAAATGAATTTAGAACCACAAAACACCGGAGCCAGAAGCTTACGTACAACTCTTCCTCAAAGGACCATGGCTGCATGCTTGTAGAGGAGCTGCGAGGATGATCTCTTGTATGGCTCATACTGTGGATCCAAAATCTCCTAGTTTCACCATGAGGTAGTCCATGATCCTATTTTTCCATGCCATAAACCATAAAATGTTAGGTTGCATTTAAGAGGATATATCTAAAGCATACATGAAGACCGGTAGGTCTAGCTACTAAAAGATGCTCCAAAATGTATGCATGATGTAAATACTCACTGGCAACTTCTGCAAAGAAAAGAAAAATGGGAAGGAGAAGGAGACAACAACTATGCCTCAGTCCCAAACAAGTTGAGTTTGTCTATATGAATCTACCATGTTCCTCATTTAAAATTATCAGGCAAATGTATTGTGAGGATTCATCATGTATTTCCTGGTTTAATGTTGGCATTCAACCTACCAAAACCCTCCTCCTCTATCCGAGCTTGGGACCGGCAATGTGAGAAGTCACACTAGCGGAGTTGGGAAGGAGAAGAGATCGAGAAATATGGTAAACGCGTCTTCTCAGTTAATGTTCTACCAATTTATTGATGTTAACTCGCTTGTATTATATCAAGGACACCTTGATCACGAATTTATACGAAAAAACTTTTATTTTTCTATAGAAAACTACGCTATTTCATCGGACATTTTAGGAAAGAAAACTATGTTATTTCATTTGACGTATGAGGAAAAATATGGGCAGCTAATCTTCAACTGGACAAGATCATTCATTACTAAGCCGTCAGCAATTGCAGAGCAGAAAATTTGACGATGTACCTGGAGGTGTATGTAATCATCGCCTTCATCTGGTTCCATGTCCAGAGTTGGATCCACCCGTCTGATCTGGAAGGAAGACCAATCATTCAAAGAAACAATTTTCTCCTTCCATTTCCTCTCAAGGGGAAAAATAACAGAGATACTCAGATAGCAAGAGGGAGGGAGAGAGAGAGCAGTAATATACACCTCACTTCTCAAGTTTTGGATGTCAATTGTTAAATAATTAAAATTGGTAAAATCTGATGTACAAACCTTCTTCCGAGCTTCATAAGCTAACAGATCATCTTGCTTCAAGAACCTGCAACAATGTTTTTCGTACTGTGGAGGTATTCTGCTCTTAAATATTTGGTCCAAAATTCCTTTTCTATCATCTGATAAGATTTGTGTCTTATTATTTTGAAAGACTGTAAGTTCAACCATTTAAAAGTGCAATAAGATTTGAGTCTTGCTTTTTTTTTTTTTAACACTTGATAAAGGCAGCCCGATGCACTAAGCTCCCGCTATGCGCGGGATCCGGGAAAGGGCTAGACCACAAAGGTGTATTATACGCAGCCTTACCCTACATTTCTGCAAGAAGCTGTTTCCACGGGTTGAACCCGTGACCTCCAGGTAAAGTTGTTGCCATGTGACCAGGAGGTCATGGGTTCAAGCCGTGGAAACAGCCTCTTGCAGAAATGCAGGGTAGGACTGCGTACAATAGACCCTTGTGGTCCGGCTCTTCCCCGGACCTCGCGCATAGAGGGAGCTTAGTGCTCCGGGCTGCCCTTTATCAAGTGGTAAAGGGGGAAAAAAAGAGAGAGATGGAAGCCAGAAAATGTGGTAAACTTAAGGTGGCACAACAGTTTTCCGCTTGCTTCCACATCCGATGGTAGTTAAAAAGGTTTCCAAAACTTCACCTAAGATTAAGACTTGATGATGGCAAGCTAGCCCCAAGATTTTGGAATAAACTAAGCACATATATCTCGCCCAACATGCACTTGTGTATGAAAATATTAAGAAGATCAGAATGAACCTTATTGATAGAGTTTAAATCGCTTCTGCAAATAAAAAGATTCAATCTCATTTATTTGCACAGTCTTTTACCTTGCTCGGCACGAAGTTCAAATATGCCATTTAGGCCAGTTGGTTTCTCAGCAAAGATCTAAAACTAAATTTCCAACATGATTAGGCACCGATTACAAAGCAAAGTTACATCTAAGGTTGTTAAAATACTTTTTTGTCATAATGAACTCGACAAAGCTCTAATGCCAGTTGCTCTTATTTAAAATTCAACAAGTAGCATCTGTTGTAGATATTAAAGAGCCGTGTGAAAGATATGATATCTGGAAACAGAAACTTCACTTAAAGAATTAGGTAAAATGAAACTTAAGGATTGAGGGTACTCCTTTTTCATGTAATAACTTGTGTGTATCAAATTTGACAAGTGAAGCAGTGGTTCCTGACTGCACTGTAGAAGCCAATAACTTCGAGCCTCTAGGAGTGATTGGCCTTCCTGGAGCATGTTCAAGTTTCACAACTTGGCTCCATTTCTTCCATATCCATAAGCTTAAGATGTCGAGGAGTCTTGAAACACCTCTACTCTCTATTGACAGGTGCAAATTCACAACACAATACCATAAACTCAAGGTTTGCCTACTTTATGCTCCAGCGTGGAACCAAGCACATGCCATTCCTGAACACTTTTAACCAATTGCTCTAACATTTTGTAATTTCAAAACTCTTCCTAGTTTAACTGAGACATCCATTTGAAGCAAAATCCACTCATGTATTTCTCATTTCATCTAGGCAGATGAAGTTTCCATACCTTATGTCATATCATTTAAGCTGAGTTTGATTTCTTTATAATGTTCCATTAATTTAAACCATTTCATAGAACACATAAGATTACCTGGTGAATAACCTCTGGTGCCAAGATAAATGTAACTCTGTTTGTCCGAAACACCAATGGAGAAAAGCAGATAGTTAAGCTTTCATGTCCACAAAGTACAGGATCACACAAGGCCCCTTGGGAGGGGGGGGGGGGGGGAAGGAAGCAAATCCAATGACGACATTTTTGCTGGCAAAAGATCTCTCTCGAAATTCAGTTTCATTTCTATCTACTTCTATTCTGTTATTGGATCAATAATAGGGTTACAGAAGTACTAAATACCTTCTGCATTAGGAGAATTTGATCAGATTTCATAGAAAACGCTTTTGATTAGACATACGTTTGAGCTAAAAAAAAATCATACTGCAACCTATTAGGCAGGTATCATTGCTGCATCTGGTGACAGGCATTGTAACCCCTAGCACAGGGAGAGAAGAGTTTCCTCTGACCTGAGCATTAAATAGAGGTTTTACACTCAACATGTCATTTTTTAAAGCCACCGTGCTGTTTAGGCTTCTTCCTATCACTCTGATCCAGCACTGTTCTGCAGTTCATTTGCACGGTAAAATACTGTAATGCTTTTCACAATGTATTGAGGAAACAGCTGCCAGGTGTTCCAGATATAGCTCAATACTTTCATTAAGTCAATAACAGCATTTTAACAAAAAAGTAATAAAACTAACAGTCTTTTTTAGACACTAACCTTCCTTGCAGCCCAAAATTCAGCTTCTGATAGAACACCTCCAATGGCAAGTTGCTTATGAAGTGTCTGCAATACACTATCACTTTATATATTTTACCGACCAACTAACGAGAAGTAAATGTCATGATCAGTTGCCAACTTAACCGGGAGGGGGCAGGACAAAAACTAACAGGCAGTTTCTTGTCAAAATCAGGTAGCATTATGAAAAAGGTTCAGAATTCAATGACCTTCTGCAACACCGAACCATGTAAAAATGAACTACATTTGCCTTTCTCAGCAGTAACTTAATCCAGTGCTCCATTTCTGCTGCACTGAGTTGTTCAACAGGTAGAACAGCAGCATTTTCAGAAGCAGCTCTCCAGCTTTTCCAGAAGCTGCAATGCACCATATACAAAAAGCTTGAGATATGTTATCTTGTCTGATCAGCAAATCACTGAAGTACTAACCCAACCAGTTAAAATAGCACGTTGGTTCGAAGGCACACTTATAATTTAATAATCGCCAAATTTAATTGATTTTTAGCAGCTGGAACTAAAAAATGTCACCGAACATTCTAAGAGGCTGTAATCTGAACCAGTAATTTATAATCACCGATGCGACAAAGAGATAGTAAATACGAAACTAAGACTAGAAATTGTAAATCTCTGATGGATGAAAAGCAAACCTTAAACTGCAAAAACTAATGCCAATTATATGCACTTGCAATGGACATTATGGCTGACAGTTCCTACAATTTCTTCTCATGTGAAATAGCCAAGTTCAATGGCTTGTCCTTTTACTTTTTTATTTTTTATAACTATGGTGCTGGGCCAACTTGCACGCACCTCGACTATTCCACCGGGTACCTGCTACCTCCCACCAGCTCAGGTGACCACTAGGCCATACCCTTGGGTGCCTCGGCACCTTGCTAGTTCTACATTAACATTTTTGTTATTAGTGATATACCTACCAACCAGATAGATTAAACCCCATAAATGAAATAATTATGTACTACAAGAGAAACCAACAACACCACTAACTGTAATGAGTCTTGGATAAATCAAGCTTCCATGTATTAGAAGCACAATAGTCCAAGTTTAGCCAAATAGTGACATGTGCAATACAAGTCAATGCATATCCCAAGGACCTACCTACGAATTCTCAGCCTTTTCACGGTCAAAGAAGCTATCAAACTCAAATATATACAAAAGCTGGAAGGTATGTTATCTTGTCTGCTCAGCAAATCACCTGAAGTACTAACCCAGCCGGTTAAAATAGCATGTTGGAACTTCGAAGGCACACTTATCATTTAATAATCACCGTATTTTATTGATATTTAGCAGCTGGAATTAAAAAATGTCATTGAACCTTGTAAGAGGCTGTAATCTGAATCAGTAATTTATAGTCACTGATGCGACAAAGAGATAGTAAATACGAAACTAAGACTTGAATTGTAAATCTGATAGATGAAAAGCAAACCTCAAACTGTAAAAACTAATGCCAATTATATGCACTTGCCAAATTATGGCTGAAAGTTCCTACATTTTCCTCTTATATGAAACAGCCAAGTTCAGCACCTGCCAATTTTTTATATAACTACTATGGTGTTGGGCCAACTTGTGCACTCGATTATTCCACCCGGTACCTATTACCTCCCACCAGCTCAGGTGACCACTAGGTCATACCTTTGGGTGCCTTGGCACCGTGCTACTTCTACATCAACATTTTTGTAATTAGTGGTATACCTACCAACCACATAGATTAAACCCATAAATGAAATTATTATATACTAAAAGAGAAACCAACAATACCCCTAAATGTAATGAGTCTTGAATAAATCAAGCTTCCATCCATTAGAAGCACAATAGTCCAAGTTTAGCCGAATCATGACATGTGTAATACAAGTCAATGCATATCCCAAGGACCTATCTATGGGTTCTCGGCAATTTCACAGTCAAAGAAGCTACCAAACTCAAACATATACTCCCTCCGTTCCAGTTTATGTGAACCTATTTCCTTTTTGGTCCGTTGCAAAAAGAATGACTCCTCTCTAAATTTGAAAACAATTTAGCTTAAACTTACAATTCTACCCTTAATGAGAAGCTTTTATAACCACACAAATACTATGGGCCCCTTTTTGACTTGTTTAGGACCACAAATTCCAAAAGTGTTCATTTTTTCTTAAACTGCGTGCCCAGTCAAATAGGTTCACGTAAATTGGAACGGATGGAGTAACTCTTTTCAGGGAAAAAATACAAAGTGAAATGCATTAAGTTGCAGTTGTCTCAGCAGTCTGTATGCTTCACAGGAAACACTGAAATACTCCTGATAGGAGCTGGTAAATAGCATTTCTTTGAATTAATCATGAATGCTAACCTGATCCCGGTTAAGCTTAAGTAGGGCCTGCTTAGGGCTAATATGTTGGGCCTGAAAAGGAAAAAAAATTGAGGAGCGGAATAATAAAAGGGAAAAAAAGAATGAGAATGATTGATAAAAGAACCAGCTTGATGAAATCATCAAACCAAAAAATCAACTAAAAACCGAACAATTACACCAAATTAGCAGCAAAGACAGTCTCATGAAGGAAAAAAGGGTATGTAAAGAAGCACCTGTAATCAACTTGAACTCCACATTAATCTTTGATGTTGATGTTGGGTCGTCTGGTATAAACAAAAATGGTTCCTTGTTCTACCAATAAATACAAGGAAATAACTCAATCAGTCAATTGTCACTGCATCAAGTGCTGGAACAGAATCTATCCAACAGAAGAGACAACAAATCAAAGTAGTAACATTCATATAACCAACCCTAACAGCTCGTTTCGACCTAATCCTATTGTACTATATTTTGTTGTATCTGATTATAAAGTTTGGATAAAATGTGTAGTTTGATGTGGTTTAATAACATCTTTATTGTCTGGTTTAACTATTGTATGATTTGACTGTTTCATATATATTGTAGAGAATTTGGAAGAGAAGTACCAAATTCAACACGCCAGGGATGGAGTCCTTGCATTTAGGCTTGTACTTGGCACGTTGTAACCATATTACCATCGGCCATAATCGATGCTCAAATAATACAGTATTTGTATTTACACTTAATATACCCAATTACTTAGGATTTGGGTATCATGTAAGGATGATCTTGTTCTACAGTTGAAGGCTAGGGCATAAACTCCTTTTTTAGATTGAAATCTTGAGATTTTATGGATGCGGGATTCCATGATTATGGAATAGGAAGGAATGGGTTTAGAGATTAGAGCAGTTAATTTCACGTGCTCACTCAATTTTACAACAATTAAGTGCAAAGCTTTTTCTTGTATCATTAAATTTTCTGAATTATGCATTAATATTTTTACAGAAAGCCAAATTTTCACCTCGAAAAACACACGCGTTATCAACATTTTACGCATGCCATGTCAGCAATTTTTTTTTAAAAAAAAATCCAATTTATTACGACCATATTTAAACTATAAACAATTAAAAAACATTAAAACCAAAAAAAATAAAAAAAAAATAAAAAGCAAATGGAAAAGTGAGAGCAACTACAGATAATGTAGTAAAAAATCCCAATTCGTTCCAACTTCCATGTCTGATGGTTAGCGCTCTGATGCAAGTTAGAAAAGAATACAGTATATAAAGAAGAGGAAATGGTAGATTAATTAGCTCTATATCAGCTTGAATATTTTTCTCTACGTGAAATCGCTACAATAGAAATTAAGAGTCCATCAAACTGTATAAAGAATCATGCTCTCTATCAGTTCCCACGGTAAGCAACAGACTGTAAAACCAAACAGTATAGTGAATTAGTTTGTCTGATTGTTCCCACAGTAAATCAGCGATAAACACGCGATATTCACATGGGAAACTCCTTGCTCAAGGGATTAGAAACCACGACCTAACCTAGTAGGATTTCAACTTTACTAAAAGAGCAAACGTCATATTACAATTGTAGACAATAAAACTGCGTCTAGAAAATAATCGAGACCGAAAAATATTGCAAACAATCGTAGGATTTGATTTCAAACAATATGAGTGTACAATCTATATAAATCCTCCGATTCTTCCTTCCAATAGAAAATAAATTCAAGGGCATTCAAGCTTGATCTTGAATCTATATTGTTGCCACAAACAATGATCTTGAATTCAACTAGCACGGACTTTGATTTGAACTCGTACTCCTTGAACCTTGATTTGTTCTTCGTGCTTGAGCTTGAACTTGATTTCCTGAACTTGAACTTCATTGCTTGAAACTTGAAAATTATAGAAATTTACGGTTTGATCCACGAGCTCTCTCTTGCTTCTTATTATAACTTCTTTTGTCTTTTCTGGGTTATGAAGACCCCTATTTATACTTGTAGGAGTGAAGAGTTATGATAAGAACAAACTTTTTCCGACTAATCAAATTGAAGTGTGACAAGACCGCATTTGATTGGCCAAAACACGTCAATTGCACACGTGACGTAGTTTTATTGGCATTTTAATGTGACTTGGCATGCTTTGTCATTTTGACACGTGGCATGATCCTATTGGTTCTTCAGTTTGACTTGGCGTGCCACATCATTTGACACGTGTCATCAAACTGGGCCTCTAGGAAGATGACATCTTGGGCCTAATGAAGTGGGTTCATCACTTGTAGCCCAATTAAATGGGTTAGCCCAACAGATTTAAACTTATTTATTTACTCTCTCTCTCTATTGAACTAATATAATTAATCTAATTATATTGGCCCGTAATATTTATTTGAACAAATATATTTAACATATAGTCCAAATTATTTTATTGAATTTAATTTCAATAAAATTAATATGCCTACACATGCTCTCTACTTCAAAACTCGCTTGAAGTGTAAATTTGATAAATTTCAAGGCGAGGCTCTGAAGTACTGATAAATTAGTCTCGAATCAAATATCCTCGAAACAGTTATTTCTGAGGTTCATTTGCATTGCATAAATTATGCCTTATAATAATTTGACTTGAGAATTTAACATTAGCTCATGCTGGATCCGCATTGATTGGGGTACCTTTGATACTTGAATTTAATGCTGCTTGAAAATTCCAATTCTTTCACAATTTAAGAAAGAATCTTTCTAATTGTTATGCCCAGCAGATTGACACGTTAAGTCTTTAGTGTCTCCATGTGGCAATTTCAAGTACAATTTATATTCTTTGTTAGAGTGCTTTCGTTGTTTATCATAATTTATGCCACCACTACCTTGTGCACATTCCTTGTTGCAAACGAATTAGGAGCGCCGCCTCAATAGACTCAAATCCTTTTCGGGGATGGATTACGAGTATCCCACACCAAAATAAATCTTTTACTGTCGACCTCCGCTATCTTATAAATACAAAACACCTTTCATTCCATTAGTACCAATTTCTATACCAATTTCAGCATTTGCAAATTGTTTGAGTCTACTATTAACGACTTGAAGGCATTGATACGAAGGTAGTTTTTTTTCCTTGTGCTTTTCTTGCCTTGTTATTCTTTTTTCCTTTTTTTTAGGTCAAGCGTGAAGGATATATTCTTATTTAACAAGATGATCAATGCATGAAGAAAATAATCTTAGGGCGTGAGGGGACGAATACTTATCCTTTCCCGAATAACGAAGAGATTCGATGACCCGACTATCAGCGAGATTACTTTCAAGGTGGCCCGACTATCGGAGAGATTACTCTCAATGTGGCCCGACTATTGGAGAGATTACTTTCAATGTGGCCCGACTGTCGGAGAGATTACTCTCAAGGTGTGAAGGGATGGATATTCATCCCCGCTTGAAAACCATAGGCCATTTCATCCAGTTAGACCTTTGTGCCCATTCTAATATTCTTGATTTGGACTTTGATGACTTTTTTTCCCTTGCAGCCCGAAGAGATGGCAAATTTCATCACCTTCCTCCAAACTTAGATATCTCGTAATCGAGACTGAAGATGGCATAGAACAAACCAAGCTTTTGGTTCACACCCCACAAGCCGGCCGATATGCAGCCTCATAACCTTCCTTGAAGAACTCGTTTCATGTAGAAAACTGGACTTTGGAGCACAAGTCTACTTCTAATCCATTATCCAAGATGTGGTCTCTCCAAGCGCCAATCCATCGCCACTTAAACCTTGCTAACACCCTTCCAAACTTAGGGCGTCGCATAATTCAAGGAGAAGTACGTTGGGGAAACACAACGACAATCGAGGGTGAGTATCGTTATATTCCAGGATATCGAAAATGGGCTGAGGATATACTTGGTGGAAGCCAACAAACCCTGAGTAAAATAAGGATTTATGATGTTGTCTATGTCTCACTTTTCACTTATGATCGAAACTCGAAAATTTTACAAGCATTTTGTGAGGCTTGGTGACCCAAGATGACACGTTTCTTACATCAACTGGGGAACTATTTATCTCTCTTTGGGACTCATATATCCTTGGAGGTTTGCCCATTGCGGGTTTTTCGTACGAATAAGTGGTACCTGAGACAAGAGAACTCATCGGTTTGGACAAAAAATAGATGAGATTTATTCTTCGATCTTGCGAGTATTTATTTGCTACCTTCCATCACCTTAAGGAAGGTACGGGTATTAACCAAAAGGTCTCCTTGAGAAAGTGGATAAAATATAAACCTGCCCCACTGCAAAAGGAAAAGAAATATGTGCGCCTAAAGTCGACATATAATCCTAACGGAGTTATTTTTGAGACAACTAGGTGGTCGAGTGATCAAGAAGATATATTTTCCAAGCTTAGGGTGAGGTCTGACAAGAAAGATGAAACATATATAGCAGTCTTCTTATCAATTTGGCGATGTCCTTTTGTGTTTCCCTATAAGGCAGAGAACTTCATTTGTCCCTAGACTTTTAAGATGGCAAGCAGGCGAAAGATTAGCCTTGCAGTCCCTTGGCGAGTAGTTATCATGGTTTGAATAAGATTTCGTTTTCTTCCCAACTTGATGAGGTCAAAGTTTGTTTTCCCATTCATTATGTTTACGACTGGCTTGCATATTACCTCAAAACTCATTATCCACTTGCTAAGGGTCCGTCTGTCCCTTTGATGGTGGCATGCTTATGAGAGGGAGCCGCGAGGTACTTTGACGAGAAGGATGCAAGAAAATGCATCTACAGTGGAGAGGATATAGTTTGGACACCAACAATGTTAACCAATTCTCGTCCTTATTATTATGTGGATAACGAGGCCCCTCAAGAGTTGGATTCAAATTACTTCATGAGCATACATTTTAATCACCTCCCTTTGAGGTATGATAACTCATTCATCATCAAGCCATATAGCCCGCATCAGTTTGGTCGTCAATTTAGGTTTTACAAAACGTCCCCAAATTTTTGGAGAGTGATGTCTGTAACGCCTCTCTAGATGAAGGACTCAGATTTTAGAAAATTTGTGCACTATATCGGTCTATTTCAAGTGCGGCTTTTCCCCTAAAGGGAAATCCTGTGGAGAAGCTTTTCTCCGCCAATTATATGTCTTGGTGGGAGAAAGCGCATAGTTTCTCAAGGATAATTTACAAGCTCTGATAGACAATGTTGGGCTAAAATCTACTACTCTTTTAGGAGATGAAGATCAAGGTGTTGGAAAGATACTCTCAAAAGTCAAAGAACCATCCACTCCAATCCCAAAAGTAGTTACATAACATAAGAAAATGAAGCTTAAATCCTCAAAGATAGCTTTGAAAGATGTGGTGTGCACTACAACAGATATAGAGAGAAACACCCTCAAACCTATTCGAGTCCTCAAATCACACATAATAGTATCAAAAACATGAATCACATCTCAAATCAAACTTAATTAACTTTCAAACTTTTAACTTTCAAAACTCGTGCCGAACCATATCAAATCTACTCGGAATGACATCAAATTTTACACTTGGGACATGGTAAACTCCAAACTATATCTTTCTTCGACTTCCCATCCGTCCTCTTCTTTGTTCCTTCATCCTTCTTCATCATTGTCCCTTTCTGCAAATCATCACTATTATTTTGTGAGTTCAAAATCCTAATGCCAACACCCCCCTCAAGTTGGAGGGTGATGAATCAACCCCCAACTTGTCTAAAATAGAATGATAATTAGGGCTAGGAAGGGGTTTTATAAAGACATCTGTGATTTGTGAAATTGATGGTAAAAATGACAAAGAGATGATCCTGGGGAGACAATAACAACCCAGACCCGATAATATCGAAGTCAACTCTCTGTCAAACCTATGAACTTTCCAAACCTTCAAATTGACAACTTTCGCCAAATAGTGACGAAATCTTCTAGAAATATCCAAATGAACTTTCAGGCATACGCTCAAGTTCAAAATCACCATCCGGACATACCGGAACTATCGAAACTTTGATCTGAGATCAAATACCCAAAAGGCAAACTTGGTCAATTTTTTCAACTTCAAGCTTCTCAAATAAGAATCATCCTTCTAAATCAATCCCGAACCACTCAAAAATCAAAACCGACGATAACGCAAATCATAATACACAATACGAAGCTACTCGTGACCTCAAAATTGCCGAAGTGAATGCAAATGCTCAAAATGACCAGTCGGATCATTACATTGACCAAAAGAAAAAACTTTTGGCCTCTCAAAAGCTTGGCTAAACAGGCTAGCTCTAAGGGGTAGTTTGGTAGGGTGTATAAGAATAATACTGAATAGAGTTATAAATGAAGACTAAGTTTGCAGAAATATTTTGTGTATTATCCCAAAGGATCTGTACATGTATTTATACATCAAAATATAAAGAAATGGAAAAGAGAAAAGAAAGTTTCTATCTGTACACTTGTCGCCTTTGTACTAGCTAATCCCTAACAAACTAACTGATAGGGAAAAATAATAAAAGAATATACTAGGCTAATTTCTATACATATCCAATACGTTGCTCTCAGGTTGTAGAAGATGCTTGACAATTGTATCATAGTCTTGCTAAATCAATGGACATAACTAAATCCATCAAGAATGAAATGAGCGGTGATGATCATTAGATATTGTCTTTGACTTGGGACATGGTAAACTCCGAACTATCTCATTCTTCGACTTCCCATCAGTTCTCTTCTTCGTTCCTTAATCCTTCTTCATCGTTATCCCTTTCTGCAAATCATCACCATTATTTTGTGAGTTCGAAATCCTAATGCCAACACTCCCCTTAAGTTGGAGGGTGAGGAAGCAACCCCCAACTTGCCTAAAATAGAATGATGATTAGGGATGGAAAGGAGTTTTGTAAAGACGTTTGCGATTTGTGAAATTGATGGTAAAAATGACAAAGAGATGATCCTGAGGAGGCATTGTTTTCGCACAAAGTGACAATCAAGGTCGACGTGCTTTGTTAATTCATGAAAAATTGAATTTTTTGCTATGTGAATCGCCGCCTGGCTGTTAGAGTGAAGAGGCACCAGAAGTGGAAAAGGAACAGAGAGATCTTCTAAAAGTCACACGAGCCAAGTGATTTCTACCATGACTCGACGCATTGACAGGTACTTTGCCTCGGCCGCAGACAAGGATACTAAAGATTGTTTCTTGGAATTCCAAGAAATAGGAGAACCTTCCAAAGTGATGAAATAACCACTAATCGACTTTTGTGAGTTAGGACATCGACCCCAATCATAGTCACAAAAGGTGATTAATTTGAAAGAGGAGCTTGAAGACATAAAAAGCCTCAAACCTGGATCGAGCAACAAATAACGGAGAGACAATGTAAAGTAACATCAGTATAGGGTCGACGAGGAGTTTGCATAAATGGACTTAAGTACTGAACATCGAATGAAATATCAGAGCGCGTGTGGGTAAGGTAATTCAGCTTTCCCAACAGATGCCGAAAAATAGTAGGATCACGCAACAAATCACCATCACCTGCTTGAAGCTGTGAGCAAGGATCAATGGGAGAAGCGGCTGGTTTCAAATCTTGACAACCAAATTCTGATAACAAATCCAAGTTAAATTTGCGTTGACTTAAAATTATTCCTTGAGATTCTAAGATTATCTTCATGCATAAGAAATAGTGAGCTTGTCACAAATCTTTTATTTTGAACTTACAATCAAGGAAAGTTTTAACAGAATCTATATCTACTGGGTCATCCCTTATTAGAAGAATTTCGTAAACATAAACAACAAGAATAGAAACCGTCCTTTTGATTTCTTAAAGAAGAGTGAATAATCATTAAGTGAATAGAAGTATCCCTTGAATTTCAAGTTGCGGTGAATCTCGCGTACCACTGCCATGAGGATTGTCGTAGCCCATACAATGATTTCTTAAGCTTACAACATGATTGGATATCGCAGGTGGCATTCCAGAAAGGAATTTCATATAAATCTCTTCCTGCAAATCATCATGCAGGAAGGCATTATTGACATCCAACTGAGAAATGCCTCAATACTTTTTGACTGTAACAGCTAATAGACACCTTATGGTAGTCATCTTTACAACTGGAGATTAAGTTTTAGTGAAGTATATTCCTTTCCTCTATATGTCTCTCCTAATAAGCGATCCTTGAACCTTTCAATTGATCCATCATGTTTATACTTCACTTTATAAAATCAATTTGCAAGGCAAGACCTTTTTGTCTTTTGGTAGCAGCACAACTTCCCAAGTTTTGTTGGCTTCCAAGGTGTAACTCTTTGTCCATTGCCTCTTGCCATTCTGGATGTAATAAAGCTTGGGAATATGTTGTTAGTACAAAAACATAAGAAATAGATTTAAAAGTGGCTGATTTGAGTGAAATAGCAAAAAAGGGCAGCACACTGGTACACATAAGGCAAATAAAATAATGAGCAATAAGATCAGTTAGGGATGGCAAATGGGGTAGGGCGGGGCAGGGCAAGCCTTGACCCGCCCT